TTCCCAGCCTGGCTCATCAGTCACTTCATCTCCCCAGGTGCAACAAGGCAGAAATTCATTATATTGCTTCTAACCTTCAGTCCTGCTCTCTAGTCCTCTGCTATGAATCAAAGAGCACAGAGGGACTTCCCAAAGTCACAGGAGATAGTACTTTGCTTGCTAACACCTTCCAGGTCTCATCCTTGCCAGCTCACACCAGGCAGGGCAGGGCAGCCCTGGATCGTTCTTGCGCCTGTAGGCACAAGTGATGCATAGCAGCTCTGCTCGGCATCCGTCACGCAGGCGTTCCCACGGGACAGAGACGTTCTGCGCTGTCAGCACAATATTCCTACCAGTTCAGTTCACCTTCAGGGTTATCGCATCACGTCAGTGTTACGAACCTTCTATATGCAAAACCAGAGAAAAGCAAGGCTTATTCACATGCAGGTTTCTACCAATGGCCTCACACTGACTCTCTCCTGGCATCGATTTGGAGGTGGAAAGTTTGATCCAGAGCAGAGATACACCAGCACAACACAGCCAAGCTATGTAAAGCATCTGAAAAAGAACTGAAAGGCACCAAGCCTGTGGGTTTGAAGGCATGGGTTAAATCAGAACTGCCTTCCCACAAGGAGAAACAGCTGATTAATCATCCTGCCTTAGCTATTAGAAGAGGAGACAGACCCTGCTTCCAAGCCTAAACAGGCACAGAAAAGAGCTGTGTGATGAATGTAGAGGGGGAAAAGCCACACTCTGACTTGTGGATTGGCCTAGAGCACATTCTTGTTGAGAGCTCCCTTCTGAGAATGGTTTGAGTCACAGGAGGAAAGGCATAAAAACATCCTTTAGGGAAACGGGAAAGTATGCAGTGTGTGCGGGAAAGGGCAGTATTAAGCCGTAATATCTCACTGTTGGTCTTCATTGATTCTTCAGGTGGTCTGAAGTTGACAGCTTTTTCCTCATTTCCCCCAGCCCTATCATGCTTTTCCTGTGTAGTCACATAGGTGACTCATTCGAATGGTTTGCACCTTACAGGAAACAGCGTCTGCTCCCTGCTCAGCTTGTGGCTCTTGAGTGCCCCTCTTCTTGGTTCCATTTCCCTGGAGAGATGGCCTTTTTCCATCAGCTTTGCCAAGAGCAGTGGTTCCAAGATGCAAACTGCACCACATGCTGCAACTCACAGACTGCCTCCTGCACATCAGAAGATGGCTGTGAACAGCACAGAACAGGCTCAGTACATTGGTCCCTTAATACCAGCTGCGATCTAACTTTCTTGTGGACTCAAGTACACACTGCTAAACAGCTGTCACGCTCCGCTGCAGACACTGCTGTATCTCACTGACAAGTTAAAACTCCTGTTTTAGCAAATCAAAGTGCTTTAGGAAGAAAAATCCTAACATCATTGCATGGCATTACTAATCTACTCAGATAAATCAGCAACTGCCATTAAAGATTCAGCCGTTCCCAAGTGAAATCAATGCCTAAGGAAGGGAATGGTGAAATAATGTGGCTACTAGCAGAGAAAGGAGACAGGATAAGAAACAGCCAGTTCTCAAATCTTGATAATGCAGGGAACGTTGCAGATGCCACAACAGTGGAAAACTGCAGAGAGCAGGTCCAGGAGATGTAACACTGTGCCAACAACACATGCCTAGCACATGCCCTCACACACAGCCAGGCATCTCTGAGAAGCAGGACAAACAGCTGTTAAATGAAACATGGCAGGAAGCTGAGATTAGGCAAAACATGCCAAGAGGGTGGGCTCTCTTTTTTAATTTTTTTATTATTATTATTGATTAGAAAAAGCAACAAAGCCACAGGCATTTGTCTGGAGTTCACACAAGTGTTTCAGGTGTCCCTCGTATGTAAAATTTGAGACTTTTCAAACCAGTATCTTCAGTTACTACCACTTCTAGCACAAAAACCACAGACTCTTCTCAATAATTTTCCCCAAGCAAGGGCCTATCATTCCCACAGTCTCAACTTACTCAAAACTCAGCAAATCTTCCCAGATCTGACAGACTGGGATCTCCATCCCTTCCTCCGTCTTGGCTCCTTTTCACCTTGATCTTAGCTTTAATATAAGGGATCCCAAAATTATAATAAGGAAAAAGAGGCTGGACCACATCTTGCATTATGGTACCAACAACCATCTCAAGGGCATCAATAAAGGTATAGGGACATGCTACAAACGCAGGACAGAATGAGGACCAATGCACTGATAATCTGAAGCATCCATCATGCTTCTAAACTCACATTTTAACAAGACAGCCTCCATTCTTTTTTGTCTGACACCGATTTTATTATTATTTTTAAAACCTGCACTGAGAGCAGTTATATTTGGTGACACAACAGGAAACAAGAAAATATTCACCATTTTTTTAAAGCAATAGCACCACCAACAGCTTTCATGAGCAAAATACAGAGTAGCAGGTGAGTAAAGCTAGTACTTGCTGAACAATCTGATCCATAGAAGATTTTAAGGCAAGCTTTAACTGAAGAGGAGGGTTGTTCATCTGCTTGATCCTTTTATTATTAACTTCCATCTTTTCCGTCACTTGACCAAAACTGGATATACATGCTCTCTTTTCTTGGCCTTTTTAAACTAACACAGTGTATCCTTTACACCCCTCCACCACAAAAGAAAAGCCAGTCCATTTCACGTTAACTTGTCCTTTCCTTTGAAGACTAGGCCAAAGCTGGCATATTCATTACCACATCAAGAACGCTTTGCCTGAAGCCTGCATTTCTTGGTGTGCTGTAATGAGTTCAGGACCCCAGCTGCCTGCCTGGGGATTTACAACACCGATATTTAATAGTAAATTATAAGGCAGAATATTTCATTCTGCTTTTTTTGCTGAAGTAGCATATTCATAATGGTACACTCTACAGCCACTAAAGATGGGGAGAGCACATCTTTCTGTTTCGACAACACAGTCTTGTAGTTACCATGGACTGGCTGTAGCCAGTGCAGTTTTTGGATGCCAGTCTCTGCTCTCAACCAATTATTAGATCTCCCTAATGTCACATCTCCCACTAGCATCCAGTAATACACTGGAGCAAACTGTAATTTATTTCTAGCATGCTTATAGAAGCCAACTTAAGAGCCTACTCCACTACCAGCTTTAGCAAGCCATACACAAAGCAGAGCAGCTTTAAAACAAAAGCAGCTAATAAAACCAAAGTGTTCTGCAGTTAATCCTTGGAATTTTGCCACTGAGATCCCACCACCATTTCAGGGACAACCGCTTCGTCAAGCTCAAACCCTGCTTTCATCTAATGAAACAGCCTAGGTCCATGTTCTGAAAACACACCTCAGTTTTATGCTTCCTCTGGGTTCTCTAATGACAGTCTGTGAAACACGAACTGCATCAGATCGGGACTTTTAACCCTTTAAAGAATACCAGCATTCTGGAAAGAACAGCAGAATAATTAGCATTTCTCTAAGTGATCCCAGATGTGTTTAAAAGCCACAAGCATAAACAGGAGGGTAAAACCTGCACAGTTTGAATTAAGACTAGAAGAGCATAAACATTTCCTTCCAAATGCCACAAGCTTAAGTCCCAGTTACTGCTAATTCTTTTTCATCATCAAATCTGTCTTTCATATCTGCTTTCCTGCTTGCAGTTACACAAGCATACACCTCCTCAGAGTTAGTGTGCTAGGGTAGAACATGTTCAAGTAAAAAAGGATTAGTCCGGTTTTCCTCCAGAAGAGCTCCAAGACACTCAGCCACAGTTACCAGGAAAACAATGAACCACCACTGTCTGCTATGCTCCCTCATTGCAATGGGAGACAGGGACAGTCTTGCGTATCTCACGACAACCACCTCAGCACCACAGGAACCATGGCCCTGTCCTTGAACATACTGCTTTGCCTTCTTTCTTTCTGCATGCTTATTTCCTGGAACTATGGCCAGTTTGGGTTGTTAGTGGTCTCTCAGAGAGAGACATACACAGCTGAGCAACATCAAAATGGGTCATAGTTCTTTCAGTCTTCTACATGTGTATTAAAAAAATAAAGTCCTTCCTGTGACTACTTTTGATTCAAATAATCTTGTCCCCACTCTGCTGTATTAGCATATAGGACAGCTTCAAAAGATGTCCAACTGCAAAGCTCTGTTCCAGCAGGCAAATGGCAGGACCATAACATACTCATTCCTTCACCAGCAGCAACACACCAGCAGCATGCAATGCTCTGACTGAACTCCCACTTCAGTTCTCCACTTTCACCTACATCTTGACATGTATAGCAACACTTTGAGTTCTGGAGCAGAGCAGAAAATAAATGTCCTTCTGCACAGGATATGGTTTCTTTTTGCTTTACTCCTCACTCCAGCCTTTAGGATAATTGAGGTCAGGACCTCAAATAAACATGACCCTAGTTCAGAAGGGCAGAGAAGGATTATAACCACACACTCCCATAGCATAACTAGACCAAATTGGATGACATTACTAGATGGCCCCTGCAAGCGTGACTTCAGCAGGGATAAGTGGGTAGGGTTGCAAGTTCAGTGGTTTGGCAGTAGCGGTGTCTGAAGAGGAGGACAGTTTATACTAGGTAACTGCATTTTAACTTCAGAGACCATAGTATCTGATTTAGTGATCTAGCCTTTACCACGCCTCACTCCTCTCTGCACAACCAATCCAGTGACTAACAGCTGCCTAGAAGGAAGAAGAAAAAAACCTGCATTTAAAGACAACATTGTTTGCTTTCTATTTATTTTCAAGACACCAGTATTACAATTTTTAAAGCAAGTAACAGGGTCAGTTCAGGGACTGCCCACCAGCAATGCCTTCAAAGAGGCTAGAGATAACAGAGCATCACCTCTGATTAAAGTCAACATTTTCCTTCACACAATATATGTGGTCAGCAATGACTTTCCATCTCCTGCCTGAAGCCAGGAGTGGAGTTCACAGAAGATTTCTCAGCTTTTTCAGCCCAGGTTTATTCCCCATTGTGAAATGTAATCACAGAAGACCCCACAGCAAATTACACTAGATTCCCACAGCTCGCACTGAAAAGAAGCACTGCCATTTCAGCAAGCGTGTGCCTATTGGCACCTCAGAGCCCATAATCACATGCCTCAGGACTGTTCTTCAAATACAGCTGGAGGAAACCTTTGAACGTCTGTGGGTCAGTCATTGTAGCCTTGACAGCAGGGTCCTTCTTCATGGCCTCCATCCAGCGTTGGAGCTTTGGGGTGTGACTAAAAGAGCTACAGGAAAAGGAAAGAGACTGAGTAATGCAAATGGGCAACTTGGAGGGCATCAAGGAAGCAAAACAACTTGAACAGTTCTATTTTACTGCTTGTTTTGCTTTCTCTCTCTCATTATAACTTCCAGCTCAGACCAAGTGACAGAAATACGTTATCAGAGTCTAGAAGATAGACTAGCATTTGGAAAGTGAAAGAGTTCTTACAGAGCTTGTGCAGTCTGCAAAGCTGAGCAAAAACACAAATGAGCATTTATCATGCAAGATATCAGCATGCTTTTGCTTATGTTATCCCTGCTGCAAAAAGACACGGCTATTTTTTAACTACTCCAAGCAGAAGGCAAAGGCTTGTGCACCACTGCCTCCCTCTGGAATGCTTTGTTAATGGCGATTCTTGAAACAAATGCTGTATGCAGTGGTTGAGTCCTCCTCCACAATTCAAGAACCTCTTCTCTCATCTCTCTTGCATACCAAGAGAAACTGCACAGTTTGTACTGCCCTGCAACCCATCAGCTCAACACACAGACACAGTCTATTGAGGAAAGTAAGGATTCAACTAACAGACTAAATTCATAAACCCACTCAGACACATTTGGAAAAAAAACCCAAAACAAATGTATGGCAAAGTGAAAGCTTAACAGTGTAAAATGTTATTTTCATTCTCTTCTGGCAGATTAACCCAAGTACTTTTCATTACAATTTTCAAATCTCGAGTTTCGTTAATGCCCAACTTCTCCAAGTTATGCACTAACCCTTACCCAGAAAACATCTTAACATACAATGGCTCAGATACTCAATCATTCAAATGCCTTTATGACTCTAAATCTATGCTCCAATAGTGCTTGCAATATTTCTCCTCCCAATCAAGATCCACACAAGAGACAATGTAGGTCAGAAACCCAACAGTAAAGCCCTCATTTTACAGTGCCAAAAGTTTCAGTGCTAAGGATTCCCTGCATCCTTCTGGTTATTCAGGAATGCTTCAGGTACCAAGGTAAGACTAACTGTTCTACACTCAGCCTCCACTGATATCACCCACTTCCTCAGAAAAGCTTTTTAGTCCTGTTTTAAGCCAGCTACAAAAGTTTTCCTTGGATACCATTTCCCTATATCTTAATGCAATACCATGGTAACTGGAGCTGTTTCAGGACTTAACAAAAACATTTCTTTAGATATTAAAAAACGCTATTACAACAGAGACAGATCCAGTAGATACCTCAAGGTAAGATACAGTTTACCAATACTCAAAACGAAATCACCCTCCTTTGTCAGTCTAGGATTTCTGAAGAGGAGCAGAAGACTGCATTTGAAGTCTGAAGTTTTGGTCCAAGAAATTTGAACCTAAACCTTCGTACCATCCACCCCCTTCAAATAAGGACCATTTTCATTTATGATGTTTGGGACAGACAAAGTCCTGTGTTTTGACCACTTCTTCCAAATCTGTCAAAATTATTTGTCAGGAAAAACAGACCTGGTGAAAGAAATCCTGTTTACAGAAGATCCCTGAACATCTCATCTCTCTTTTGAGAAGATGCTTCCCCCCAGACGGTAACACAATACAAACTTTCTTCAGCAGCCCCCAAGAGTGATCCATTGCTGCAGAGTGTATGCAAAGAATTTTTATGCTGAGGCACTTCAGTACGCACTAAAAGCTAGGCAAGGTACTCACTCCTTCAGCTGGAATGGTTCCACGCGTTCAAACCATGGCCAGATCATGTAGTCAAGCATGGAGACTGAGTCCCCACCATAAAACACAGTGTTGCGTTTCAACAGAACCTGTGAGGGACAAGAGATCACAATTGTCCTCAGAAGGAAAATTACCACGGCAGGACACTACAGTAACAAAACATTCCCACCTCGTAGTGGAACGTAGGCATACTGAAGGGATGAGACGGTAAATAACGCAGACACAGCACCTTTCTCCTGTGCATGCAATATCTGAGGAGTCGGAGCTAGTCAGTAAAGCAGCTGTAGTATCAAGCTTAAATATTAACACTGTCAGTCCAGCTCTTCTCCAGTGGTTCAAAAACTGTCACAAAATATGAACCACTAGCGAGATGCAGTTTGTGCACAGACAAAAAGGAATTTAGCTTTCAGAATCTGTCAGTTCATGATTTCTTACTTGTCAAAAAGCATTAATGGCACAGACCAATTAAGCATAATAATGTAACATGCTTTTTTTTGAGCAATAAATCCAGCTAAAATTAACATTCAGGTAAACTAGAACACCATTTTAGGAGGGACTCTTTTCCCATGACACTTGAGGCCAAGTGGTGTCAGGAAAGCATTTCCAACATTACATCGAGAACTGGATTTGACTCCAGATGCAAAGGGAACAGGAAGCAAGTGTAACAGCCACATACACCAGAAAGAAATCCCCAGAGCTCAGCACAGAAAGCAAGGTCACAAAGAACGCAGCAAGTTCTCCTGTTATATTTATGTTTCCGATACGTTTCAAGTGTCATGGTCATCCAAGATTATCATGCTTTAAGGAACCTCCAGAGCTTGGTCTCACAAGACCAGCCCCTCTGTTTTCAGATACTTTGGCAATTTAAAGGTAGAATTTGAGAGACGTTACAACTCTCTTTTTGGATGAACAACACTATACTGCTATGGCATTTACTCCCTGTCTCCTACGCCCCATGAGCTAGTAGAAATTTTAAAGCAGTCATGCAGGAAGCATCAAGCCGTTTGCATTACCAGGAGCTTGGCAGAATGCACAGTCCTAGAGACGGGAACACAGCTCCCTCTGTCGGGCAGCAGTAATCTAAATACAGAAGTGTTTCAAAACACCCGAGTATCTCTTGCAACAGGCTTAGTGAAGTTTGTGTGGCTCTGTGCCTTCCTCCCATTCTCAGCTGACCTTCAGCTGCTGCTGCAAAATCCTTCAGGGTATAGTAAAACAGAGATGCTGAAGGAGCAGCAAGTATTTCACAGCATTAATAAAGCAGGAAGAAGGTTAAATTCTTCCTTAATGTTTAATAGATCTGTATTTCAGGGAAGTGAAACACACATGGCTTCCCCTAAGAACTCATTTGTCATCTGCACTACTCCAGCATCAGCCTGATCAGACAGACAAGACTACCTTGAAAATTATTTTACTTGGCAACTCAAGGGGGTGAGGAAGGAGAATGCACAGGGCTGTCAGGAGAATTAGGAAAGTACTAGAAAGGTACTGGTAGCTTTGCACCAGAAGAGAAACACACTGGAGAATGCTTCTTGATCAAGCCCAACAAGCATTAGTTGTGACTGCTAAAAACATGGAAGGAATGGGTTCATGACAAAGGCAAGCCCAACAGCTGTTCAGACTAGCCAAGAACCACTACTGACACTAAATCAGGATTGTGAAGTTGCCAATACAGCATCAAAGCCACTTGGCACTTCCTGGAGCTCCGCTGAAGTTCAGTTACATTGCTGTAGCAGAACACAGCCCAGGACTCCATTACTGCAAGGGACAGATTACATTCTGCTTCCCCTCGCAAAAATAAACTCTTAAACAAAAAAGAGGGGTTTGTTTTTTTTTTTTAATCAACAGTGTACCTGCACTGATTTCAGCAGAGCTACAGCACAGGAGCTTTTCAGCAGCACAGGCTCCTCTGCCCTTGCTCTTAGAACATGCTGCAAGGTCTCCTTACATTTAAAGCACAAAGATATCTAAGACAACAGCAGTCAGCTAGTAGAATTAAAAAAACAACAACCACCAATCAAAAACAACACAATAAAATAAAACCAAACTGCACAAGTCCACGCAGCCTTCATCATACAGATGAAGTTTAGTTTAGCTACTTGGAATTTACACTAATGATGCTGTGGTGCATCCCAGGCTGAGGGCAGTAAATTTAAATATTGTTCACTGCTGTAACTATCAGCTGAAAGAGAAGAGATCTAGCTCCAAAGCATGAAAGAGAAAAAAAATAAATTAAAAAAAAAAATCACACAATGACTGGCAACCTGCTCATTTTCATTAAATACTCTTACCTCTTCAAATTTGCCAAGCTCTTTATCAAATTCTGCTTTCAGCACGGTGGTGTCCTGCTCATCTTTGACTGCCACAAAATACTTCAAAACTATGGATGTTATCTACATAAAGGAAATGATAAAGATTTTAATGTACCTATTACAATAATAATAGTCACTCAGAGCTTCAGATGTTAAGATGCTAGATGCAAGTTAAATATTTAAGATTTATCTTGAAAGAGTTAAATAAAGTCCATTAACAAAAATCTTTTATATTTTAGAAATGGTAAGCAAAGGCTTAAAGGAAGAACAAATGCAAATACAAATTAATTTTAGTCCTGTAATAAGAGAACAATGAAAAGAGGAGCATGTTTCCAATTTGCACACACTACCAAAAAAGTAGCAATAAAAGCGGCAAGGTGCACAGTGGTACTCTTTTCCCAGTTACATATTTCTGAAATCCAAATACACTTCAATTATCAACATTTAAGGTACTTTAAGAAAGAGATATGCAAGCTTCTACAAACCTGTGCATTTTCTAATTTGGTAATCGCCAGAGAAATTAGCATACCATATCAGAAAGTTGCCCAGTGGCCAAGCTTAACTAAATTATATTCTTAAAAACCTCACAGACTAACATTTTTCTAAGATTTTGTAATTCATACAATCAACATTCAGCGTACATTTCATTTCCTGCAACATGCTTCATGTAACCCTCCTCCCATCATGCCTATTCAGAACAGCCTGTTGTAAACATATCCTTCCTTTCTATCCCCGTTCTTTGTCCACATCTCATCCATTGCTTCCTCTCTTCCACTACCTCATATCCAAGTTGATTTTCACTTCCTAGACTCTTCAAACCATGTGCTTGTATTATCTGTCTTTAAAGTGCAAAGAGGTTAAATCCAGACAGCTACAGTGCCCAGCTCCACCCCTACAGGGAGCCAAAACAAGTCTCCTTATACACATCCCATGTCTACAGCCACCTGCCATCTCTTGTCCGCTATTGTAGGCTCCCTCAGTCAGACACTCATCACCTTTTGCATTTCTACAGTACTTCCTACAGAGAGGTTCGGATTAAAATACAGCAGTTGCCACTGCCTAGGTCTCAAGCATTCAGCTGGTTTGGTCTAGTGACCTTTCCTCTGTTGTAGGATGCTCAAAATCCTGCCTCAGTTATAAACACTTTCACTAGCTTGCCTGTCTTCCTGCATCCATCCCTAC